TTGGAATTTCTGGGGCATGTGGTTTCTGGCGAGGGAATCAAAATCGACCCGCGTAAAGTAGACGCCATCGTTAAGTGGAAGCCGCCTACTAATATCCCTAAGTTGCAAAGCTTTTTGGGGTTTGTTAACTACGTTCGCCGTTTTGTACCTAATATGGCAGGGATAACTAAGCCGCTGACCGACCTGCTGCACCACGACAGTGATTTCAGGTGGGGGGAGAGGGAGCAGTCTGCCTTCGACGCCCTCAAAAACATTTTGGGTTCGCCCCCGGTACTCCGCCTCGCCGACACATCTCGACCGTTCGAAGTCGTCACGGACGCCAGCGATTTCGCCGTCGGCGCCATCCTGCTACAGGACTTCGGCCAAGGGCTGCAACACATCGCCTACGAGTCACGCAGATGCAACCACCCGAGCGCAACTACCCAGTCCACGACAAAGAGATGCTGGCCATCGTCCACGCATTTCGTACCTGGCGCTACTATCTCACGAGAGCCGACGTGACAATTCGGACCGACCACAAATCGCTACAGTACATGCCCACGCAACCGACACTCAACCCGCGACAAATCCGGTGGTTGGACTTTCTCGAGTCCAATTTTCGGTACACCATCACGTACAAGAAAGGCGCCAACAACATCGCCGACGCCCTCACCAGGCCATCCATGCAAAACGCGGCGGTACTAATCGCCCACACCAACCCGATGCTGATGGGACTATTCACCCACGGCTACAAGATCGACAGGTTTTTTCGGAACCCGCAACAACAGGCCGCCACACCGCACGGCAAATACTACCTAAAAGCCAGCACGAACCGGATTTGGGTACCAGCATACCGACCTTTACGGGAACTGCTGACGCAGGGGGTTCACGACTCCAACCTTTCCGGGCATTTCGGCACCGACAAAACAATGAAGTTGCTGTAGCGGAATTATTACTGGCCGGACATGCACACCGATGTGCATCGCTACGTGTCAACTTGCCCGACCTGCCAAGCAATGAAGTCGTCGCGATAAAGGCCAGCCGGACTACTGCAACCCCTCGCGCCACCCGAACGACCGTGGCAACATGTGACGATGGATTTTCGTCACGGGGCTCCCAGCTGGCATGAGTGGCAACGACTCGGTAATGGTCGTCATCGATCGCCTAACGAAAATGGCGCATTTCGCTCCATGTCGAACGACGATCACAGCCGAATATACAGCCAAACTGTTCATCTCCAACGTCGTACGCTTACACGGGTTACCTTCGGCGATCATCAGCGATCGTGATCCGAAATTTACATCGAAGTTCTGGCAGGAGACGTGGGCACAGTTTGGTACCCGCATGCAGTTTTCGTCGTCATACCACCCGCAAACCGACGGACAGACGGAACGGACAAATCAGACCATGGAGCAACTGATTCGCACCAACTGCCCTGACATTCGCAAATGGGAGGATTCACTGCCGATGCTGGAATTCGCATACAACAACGCCCTGTCGGCCACGACTAAACAATCACCCTTCTTCCTGAATTACGGGATAGACCCCGTGATACCCTCTTCAACGACTGTGGAAAACCCGGTACCAGGATCGCAGCAGTTTGTCACGGAGCTGCACACCGCCCGCACGAAAGCAGTTGATTTCATTCGTCGGGCTAATACCACGGCCAGTCGCCAGGCGGATAAACATCGACGGAAATTACCCTTCCGCGCAGGGCACGTTGTGCTCCTGGACACCAAGAATCTCAGGCTGCCGCAGCCCGCGAAACTACGGCCCCGATACGTATTTCGTATCATCCAGATGGTAACACCTATCACCGCGAAGCTGCTGCTGCCCGACGACTGGAAAATACATGACGCATTCCACGTCAACCTTCTGCGTCATTACGAACAGCCGCAGTCGCCAGCTGTTGCTCGGCCAACCATCACGCCGACCACACGCCCCATGGCAGAGCCCACGCTAGAACCTTGGAAGATTCTCAACCATCGCGTGGACGTGACTGCCACCGGCCGCTCAATGAAATTCCTGCTTCGCTGGAAAGAACGCACGAGCGAGGACGACACGTATTTCGCCGCGGACTCGCTACTGGGACATCCGGATGTAGATGCTTACCTGGCTCGCCGAGGTGTCTCGGATATTCACCACCTTTTTTAGGGGGGGGGGGGTGGGAGTGTAAGGAATTTTTCGGATTCCTTACTGGGTCACACTGTAAGCGTACAACCCCGACTTTCGGAAAACCAGGCTCGGTCCGCCGATCTCGCCTTCCGAGCCACTACCGCGTCGCCTTCGAGTTTCCCAACCCCGAACCTGCACCCAACCATCTCGCGACCCCGCGACCTCGGCCTAGCTAGCTTCGCTATATTAGTCCTAGGCCTCGTCGTGTTCTCAGACGTTGTAATCACTTCCGCATTATTGAGTTCTCCGCACTCTTCCTTTCACAACTCATAACAAAAATCACACTGTAGCTCTCCCCCAATCGCTCGGGGGCAGGATCGATGGAGGGAGGGACGCGCCCTAAAAAACGAAACCAACAGCCTCGCCGCTTCTTCCGCCGCTCCTTCCGCTGTTCTCCCAAGGTTACCTCCACCGGATCTCCGTCCACTTTCGATTTTTCTTTCCGCGTTTTTGCAAGACGCCTTCAGACTTATCTAACGTCGCGGTCTTGTCCATAATCTGCCAATCGCAACGACCCGCGGATGCAGGAGGAGCTGAGGAACAGTTTTCTAGCGATGCGATAAGGTTATCAAGCTAAGCGACGAGCCTAAGCAACGAGGAGTCTAAGCGACGAGTCTAAGCAACGAGCCTAAGCGACGAGCCTAAGCAACGAGTCTTAGCGACTAGTCTAAGCAACGAGCCTAAGCGACGAGCCTAAGCAAGGAGTCTAAGCGACGAGTCTAAGCAACGAGCCTAAGCGACGAGCCTAAGCAACGAGTCTAAGCGACGAGTCTAAGCAACGAGCCTAAGCGACGAGCCTAAGCAAGGAGTCTAAGCGACGAGTCTAAGCAACGAGCCTAAGCGACGAGTCTAAGCAACGAGCCTAAGCGGACGATCGGGCAGGGTGGCGAACGGGATCGTGTGAGTCAGCGTGGCTTTTGGTAAACCAGCTGTTGAGGCAGAGGAGGGCTTGACATCGCAAAACCAACTCGAACACCAGACTGTTGCGAGGCGAGGGGCTGTACACAAATGCTGGAAGCGGCTGGCTGAAATCACACCACAGAATCCCCTTCACAGCCGAGCAGCGATTGGTTCGCGATTCTCGTTGTAGCGGATCTTTGTTCGGGAATGGCGGGCGCGGCGGCCCGCCGGCAGCGCAATCTCGTGGTGGCGGCCGCTCTGGGCGTGTTCACCCTCGGAACGCTCTCGCTGCCGCTGCTGCTGCGGTACTGCCTCCCCCCTCATCCTCGCCTGTCCCTTCCCCTGCTCGTGTCACGCCTCGCCTACCCACCCTCCTCCGCACTTTCTCCCTCCCTGTCCTGCCTGCGTCCAGTCGCATCCCATTCATTTCCTCGCCACCGCTCCTTTCAGGATTCTAAGTAGAGGCCTGCCTGCATATTCGCAGTAAGAGCTCCCTGAATTTGATCGCGTCCACGCGCATCCCTTTGTGTCCCGCCTCATCCTTAGACTCTCTTCCTCAGGCTGGCTGAGTCTCATGTCCCCATTCCTCTCCTATCTCCCCTTTCCTCTGCCTTCCGCCTGCCGCACGTCTTGGACTTTCTTCCTTTTCCTCCGCCTTACTCCCCTCTCTCCCTCTCTTGCCTTCTTGGCTCCTCATCCGCTTTCACTCGCGCTGCTGCTGGAGAGGGAGGGGGGCATTTGAACCCGCAGGCAGGATACAGAGAGTCTCGTTTCCCTTGGCGAATCCAAGCATTGTTTCCTCTCCACTGCCCTCTCCTTCCCTTCCCCCTCGCTTTCTTCCCAGCCTCTTCCACTCGTAGTCCCTGCCCTGGTGGAGAGGGCCGACTGTCACATACCATATTCTTCCCTTTTTTTCCACTCCTCCCCTCCAATCCCTCCCCTTCCCGCTCCCCCCTCCGCTCTCTCTCCTCTCCTCCCTCTCCTCTCCTCTCTTGCCCTCCCCGCCCTTCCCCTCCCCTCCCCTTCTCTCCCCAACCCCTTCCACTCGGAATTGCTGGTGGAGAGGGAGGGGGTGCTGAGCCCTCAGGCAGCGCATGGAGAGTCTGGTTTATCCACACGAATCCGAGCACCATCTCCCCCTCCCCTCTCATCTCCCTCGCCTCCCTCTCCTCCCCTGCCCTCCCGTCCCCTTCTCTTCCCAGCCGCTTCCACTCGCAGCCCCTGGTGGAGAGGGAGGGGGCGCTGAGCCCACAGGCAGTGCAGCGAGGGCCGTACCTGAATGCTGGCAGCAAGGACATCGGTAGAGATCCCACTCCCATTCACGTGTACAAGCACAAGAGGGAGTCTCAGGCAGATCAATAGAGTTTCATGTACTAGTGGGAGTCCTGTATTTTGTGTATAAGAGCATATTCCTATCTTCATATCAAGAAAACCTCATATCAACCTCCCACTGAAAATTCCCCTAAATCCAAAACCTCTCGCTACTTTTATCAGGCAAAAAGTACTATCTTGATACGAGGTTTTATTGATACGAGGATAGGAGTATGCCCCAAGTAATCAACAGGCGCTTCCCTCAAAGCATCTTCCGACATTGTGCAAACCCGGTCATTCCATTATGATTAAATCGAGCGATGCAGGCTGGGGTCAGGGTGGCTCGCCCTACTCTATATCACAATCACACCACGGAAAATGTACAGTTCTTGTTTACAGTTAGTACATCTCATTTGTACACAATGCATGCATAACTGTACACAGACTAGGTACAAGTTCCTCTCCATCATGTAAAAAAACACTATCGATGCTTCCCTCTCCAGCAAAGGTTTGCAAAGCTGCGGGATCATATACAGGGACCGTAAGGCAAGCAAGTCCTCCTTGCCTCTGCCGTCCTCTCTGCATCCCATCCCACACACCTCGTCTCTCCTCGTCTGCACATCCCACAAGCAGCATCATCTTCTCTTCCCGTGCCGCCCCCGCGCCTTGCCTGCCCCTCTCTCCCCGGCAGTAGGCGCCCCCCCCACAGCCAGCACAGTGCCCTCCCTGATGCCCTCTGCTGTTCCTGCTCCTCCCTCTCGCTCCACGATCTTCTGCGCCTCTATGAACACCATCAGATCCCGCACCTGCAGGGGGGAGGCGGGGGGGGGGGGGGGGGGGGGGGGGGGTGTTGGAGGGAGAGCGGTGATACACAAATGTCCTGTCCACGCCGCATCGAACTGCCAATCAGACCACCCCCTCCCTCTCGCTACACTTGTGCGCCTCTATCGCGCATAAAGCAGTCAGTGGAAGAGGGAGAGCAGGGTGGTAAACACTTGTCATGGCGTTTTACAATGAGCTTGCACCACGATTACTGTCAGGAGGCCAGGTCGTTGGTCATAGAGACGGGGGTCAGCTTTGCCAAGCCCCTTTGGTCACCTACTCCTCTGTCCCATTGCCCCTTCAAGCGCTCCTCTCCTCTCACCTGCTCCTCCAGGTCTTTGATCTTCTCGTCCCGTGCAGCCACTGCCGCCTTCACCCTGCCAGCACCGCCACAACACGGTGAGAGGGGAAGTGACGTGGACTCAGTCAGGCTGACAGAGTTGATGCAGTCAATCAAACGGAAAACACCTTTGAGGAGAGACTTTGAGCAGGTGAGAGGGCGATGAGCCGCAGAGTGTCATGGGAGGTGGGTCCCAGACACACCACCCGCATACCACTTGATCACCACCCTCCCACTCACACCACAAACATCACTCACTCCCCCCTCCACCACACTCCCCCCTCATGCCACATCACGTTACACGCCACTCATCCTTCCCCGTACCCCCTGCCTGGTTCCCTTTTCACCTCTCCTCCTGCTGCTTGAACTTCTCCTGCCACTGCTTCTGGTTCTTAATTAGCGAGTCGTTCACCTGCCGGCACACCACAGGCACACAGTGGGTGCAGGGGAGCATGGAGCATGGCAGCTACAACACCACATGGGTTCCACAGGCCAAGAGGATGGTAGTATGGTAGTATGGTATCGCTGAAGGAACTTTGATGATTGACAAGAAAGGACGGCTTTGGTGCCTGCATTCATCATGTCACTGCTTTTGGTACTTCAGCGGCTCAGCTCGAGTTGCGTGCAAAAGCCAAGGGTTGGCTGCGGTGTGACCGGCACACTATGTAATCCTTGCAGAGTTACATTGTGTGCCTTGCTCGTCAAGCCAGGGCTTAACCACTCACCTGCCAGTCCCAAACCCAGTAGGCCACTCACCTGTTGCAGGAACTCCTCCTGCTCAGCGCGCTCCAGCTAGGACTGCACATCTGCACCTCCAAACACTCTCGCTCCCTTCCTTTCTTGCAGAACCTCAAACCATGGCTTTACCACTTACCTGTCTCATACATACCAGTATCACAAAAGATGTTACAAACCAAAACCACTGACCTGCTTCAGAAACTCCTTCTCCTGCTCGGCGCGCTCCAGCCGGGACTGCAGCTTCTGCACCTTCACACTCTCCCTCGCCGCCTCTGCTGCTGCCACCGCCTCGTCCCTCTCGGCCTTGGCTGCTGCTAACAGCCCCTCAAAGTACTGCGCGCATGCGCATGCAGGGGGCGAAAAGGATGAAAGATCGTGATACTTGAGAGGCATGCACTCCTCCACCCCACTTGTGCTGCCAGGAAGCCCTCCAAGTATTGCGTTCATGCACGTGGGGGATGGAGGACGCGCATGCAGGGACAGGGTGGGAGTGTGAAACACTTGCAAAGTCATGGCGACACCAGCATTGAAATGTCAGCGGTCTTCAGTCCTCTCCTGTCAGGGGTCTTCAGTCCTCTCCTGTCAGCGGTCTTCAGTCCTCTCCTGTCAGCGGTCTTCAGTCCTCTCCTGTCAGCGGTCTTCAGTCCTCTCCTGTCAGCGGTCTTCAGTCCTCTCCTGTCAGCGGTCTTCAGTCCTCTCCTGTCAGCGGTCTTCAGTCCTCTCCTGTCAGCGGTCTTCAGTCCTCTCCTGTCAGCGGTCTTCAGTCCTCTCCTGTCAGCGGTCTTCAGTCCTCTCCTGTCAGCGGGCTTCAGTCCTCTCCTGTCAGCGGTCTTCAGTCCTCTCCTGTCAGCGGTCTTCAGTCATCTCCTCTCCTGTCAGCGGTCTTCAGTCATCTCCTCTCCTGTCAACGGTCTTCAGTCATCTCCTCGCCTGTCTGTCGTTTCTTAGTGACAACAGCGACGTAGTTGTGCTGTGTCTTTTGTCGTGTGTCGTCGCTTTTCAGCCGCCTCACATTGGTCATCAGCCATCCGTCCTCTTTTGTATCCCCCAGTCCGGTCGTCCGCTGTTGATTCAATGCCAACTTTCAATTGGCATCATTCATCTCACGTCATTCGACTGCCATACAATGTTGCTCACCTGTTATCTAAAATTTTCCTGTGTCTTTACCATACAATAAAATTCCTCCACTCTTTTAGGCATGCACACATGTTCGACCTGAACTGATTCGACTTTAACTGCTTAGAACTTGGCAGGTGGTCTGACCAATTTCGAACCAATTTAAATTGAACTGGGACCTGACTGGTTCGAGGTTGACCAAAATTGTCAACCAATCGGTTCGGTCAATACCGTGCACAGTTGGAGTACAACTGGTTGTAAGTTAGGGTGCCTAAAATCAGAAAACATTCGTGTGTGTGAAAAAACTATGCACATACGTGCAGTCAGAGGGCTAGATTCTAGAACCTGGAATGAGGTATTTGAGCCCCCCTGAGAAGAGGAACAAACATTTAGTTGACAAGAGTGTAGGGTTGGGAGAGGCGTTACCAGTCGTTGTGAGTCCAACTGCGTGGTGAGCAGGTGCGTGTACTCATAGGCCACCTGGGGAGAGAAATGGGGGGGTAATGAGGGTGCACAGAGAATGTGGGAAGCAAACGGGGGATGACGAGGGTGCAACGAGAATCTGGGAAGAAAACAGGGGATGATGAAACGAGGGTGCACCGTGCAAGGAGAATGTGAGAAGAAAATGGGGGCTGATGAGGGTGCAAGGTGAAGACGAAGTGTGGACATGCGCAATCTGCGATTTCGAGTGTGGTCGGGCGCTTGACAGCGCATACAACCACCTCCGCTCTCCTGGGCATGGCCTTCAACTCATGCAAGAACAGAGCGTGCACTTTCGTGTCTCCCTGTGTCTCCATTGTAAGCGGCTGTGTCTTGCATGAGTTGAATGCCATAACTAGGAGAGCGAAGGTGGTTGTACGCGCTGACGAGCACACCACCACACTCGAAATCGCAGACCGCATGTCCACACTTCCAGTCGTCTTCTTAGACATGGGCAAAGAGTCGAGTTTTTAAGCTCGACTCGATCGGGGGACTCGTTACTGGTCGAGTGTCGAGTGCGATTCCCCCTTGGAAAAACTCGACCGGGCCGAGTCGAGTTTTACCCGCCGAGTTTTTTAAAAACTCGGTCAAGGCTCGGGCCCCATGGCGAGTTTTTTCCAGACTCGTCGAGTTTTCTGGACTCGACGAGTCTACGAAAAACTCGTCGCGACATTGGGGAGGGGTGGGCATACAAATTTCGAAATTTGAAGTTTTGCGGGTCCATTTTCAAATCGCGATTTCAGTCAGTCACCTTCCCCATGATGTCGTCTGTAGTTTCCAGAGCCAAACCAGCCAAACGCCCGGCTGTTTTTTCTTCTTAAACTTCCGATCGCCATAGGGGCAACATAGATCTAGGTTCACACTTAGTTAGGGTCGCGGTTTTATTGTATGGTTGATTTCGATTAGGGTTTGAGGAGGAGGAAACGCTACTATTTATTAATTTAACGGTCGATCTACTGATTTAGCATGGCGAAGGACAAGCACATGGCAAGTAAGAACCCCAAAGGCGGAAGAGGGGGGGCGGGAGGAACCCACCGTGCCGATCATGCGGGAGGGGCGGAGGAGGAAGACCAGGTGGAGACGGCTATGAGGAACCCACCGTGCCTCAATTCCAGCTTTTATATTATGTATCCCCTCCCCCCCGTCACCCCGAGTCGAGTTTAACTAGGACTCGGCCGACTGTATGAAAAGCCCCGGTCGAGTTTTTAAAAACTCGCCCTTATACAGCCGAGTCTCGAGTCCAGAACCTTGGCAAAAAAACTCGACTGAGTTTCACCCGACTCGAGCTCGAACTCGGTCGAGTTTTAGCCTAGACCGAGTCGAGTTTTACTCGACTCGGTACATTGCCCATGTCTACGTCTTCTGGTCCGATGTACCCACAAGCCACCAGGACGGGAAGAAGATGTGAGAGCGGAGGGTGCAAGGGAGATGTGGGAGGAGAAGAAGGAGAAGCGAGAACAAAATGGGCACTCATGGGTGTGTGCAAGCTTAGCAGGTGCATGTAGTCATATGCCACATGGGGGGCAGAGATGAAAAGGGGATGAGGAGGGGGACAACAGCAACAACGGGGTAATAGCGGCGGATTAGGCGGGGGGTTTGAAGGGACGGCAAGAAGTGACACTAACCTAGGAAGAAAAATGCTTCCTGTGAAAAGTAACGGCACGGTCCGCACTAGAAATGGATGGATGGATGGTGCAAAACAAATGGGCGCCCTATGAGTAACGGGCTGGGTGGGCGATGGGGCAGGCAGTGCCTCGGAAGCGTAGTTGTGCAGCAGACACCAGCAGGGGTGCTGATGAGTAACAAGCTAGCGAGAAATTCTGCTAAATGTGCTTTGAATGCCAGCTGCTGCAGCGAACGCACTGACCCTTTCCCAGCGCGTGTGATGGGTGGGAGGTGAAGGTTTATCATGCCCACCCATCGAACACTGTCAGTGTGATTGAGTAATCCTATTGCAAAGCCAGCACTGAACGCATCAGTTTCTGGAGGTGTGTGGGGCCGACGCACGGACTGTCGAGTTGAGTAAAAATCACGTTGTGTGAGATGGGTGGGTAGGAGGCTATCGGTGACAATAGTGAGGTTTGTTACTGGAGCCGACATAAAGTACGCAAGCACTGCCTGATGCACAATAAAGTTGCTGCTGCAGGGAACGTACTTATGCGACCAAATCACGTGTCACTCCACGTCACAGCCCTTCCAGTTGATGCCACAGCGCCTTACCAAACTCAAGCAACCGCTCATCACCGCATTGGCAAACTCCTTATGCCCGCCCAATGGCGATGGTGATGTCAGCTGTGGGCTGCTACTCTCCCCAATTCCCTTCCCCACTTTTCCAAGTCAACTTAAAACTTACCGATTCGAGCTTGCTGTTCATGACGGCCTGGGCAAGCTCCTCATCCCCCCCGTGGCGATGGTGCTGGTTGCTGCAGCTGCCTCCGGGCCCCACTTCACACTCCCCTCCCTCCCCCCGTCCCCTTCCCCCCGCACTCCCCACTACCCCACTCCCCCCTTTCTCTTTCCCCCCTCCATCACTCCCCTCTCTAGCAACACCGGCCCCGCCCTCCCTTCCCACATGCCCATCTCCCCCATCGCCCCCACCTCCTCCCCCTCCACCTCCGCCTCCCCCTGCCCCTCCGCCGCGTCCCCCTGCGCCAAGGTCCCCAGGCGCGGGGAGTTCAACGAGTTTGCCGTCGGTCTTGGAGAGCACGAGGCGGTGCACGAAGGCGTCGCCCACGTAGTCCCAAACGCGCTGTGACGCCACCTCCAGCGAGTAGCAGTGCTGCGACGTGCGGAAGTGCGACTCTGCGTGGCCCCCTTGATATCTGTGGGGAGGGGGGAAGAGGAGTGGTGCCGGGGGGTTTGAGAGATGGGAGAAAGGAAGTGCGTAGGGATGAGCAAGGGGCGAAAACGAACACGTTCGTGTTTGCCCCTGCACGTTCGGATCGGCGAAGACTTTTAGCAAAAACAGATGTTCGGTGTTCGCCTGTGAAGGCGTGTTCGGGCGAACCTCGAACACGTTTGTCACGAACACTTTAAGCTAAAAACAAAACCTGTTCGGTTCGCCTCGGACATGTTCGAGGCGAACCAAACACATGTTCGTTTCTTTGGTCAACCGTAGAAGTGCGGTGAACAAGGTTACTTGCACGTTGCTGTGAGTTGTCACCTCCAGCGCATGGCAGTGCTGCGGCGCTCTCAAGTGCGGATGGGTGGGAAGCAAGGGTAAGGTAGACGAAGCAGATGATCCAGAAATGTCATGAGCCGCACACAGCACACTTCACGATCGCACAAAAGCACAGCCAGTCCCCCACACCATCCCACCAGCAAGCAAGCAAAGCCCACACCCCACAACGTCGCATATGAGGCAGATGCAGAGGCTGTCTGTCGTTGTGAATGGCGAGGACACTGCAGAGTTACCCTAAAGCACAGCCAGTCTCTCCATGACCCACACCAGCACGCCACACCAGCACACATGCAAGAAAGAAAGCAAGCAAGCATGCAAGAATGCAGCACTCACCGGCCACACCCCACGAAGCCGCAGATGAGGCAAATCCAGAGGCTGTCGTGTGAACCGCACACTGCACACTGCGACTTGTCTGCCGGCTGCTGGCAGTACCGACACACCTGCGCGTGGTGATGTGGGCGGGGGGGGGGAGGAGGGGATGATATATTACTGAGGGGCTCAGAACTTGTGCGATGGTATGCCGTCTGGCAGGCATGCGGAAGAGGAGAGGGGGCGGATGTGGGAATACAGGACGAGAAGAATCAAGGTGGTGCGCTCAGAACTTGTGTGACGGACGGCTGTCTGGCAGGCATGCGGAAGGCACAGCTGGTATGAGTGACAGCAGGTGTGGTGTGGGGGGGGGGGGGAACGCAGCAGCCATTGGGGCGCGTGGGTGGAGTGGGAAAGGGGAGGAGTGGGGGAATGGTTGCTTGAAGATGAAAGAGCAGGCAGGGAGGGGATGGGTAGGTGCACGCACAGATGCATGTAGAGAGGACATGACAGGGCACATGCACGCAAAGAGGATATGACACGGTACATGCACGCAAAGAGGACATGACACGGCACATGCACGCAAAGAGGACATGACACGGCACATGCACGCAAAGAGGATATGACACGGCACATGCACGCAAAGAGGACATGACACGGCACATGCACGCAAAGAGGATATGACAGGGCACATGCACGCAAAGAGGATATGACACGGTACATGCACGCAAAGAGGACATGACACGGCACATGCACGCAGAGAGGACATGACACGGCACATGCACGCAGAGAGGACATGACACGGCACATGCACGCAAAGAGGACATGACACGGCACATGCACGCAGAGAGGACATGACACGGCACATGCACGCAGAGAGGACATGACACGACACATGCACGCAGAGAGGACATGACACGGCACATGCACACAGAGAGGACATGACACGGCACATGCACACAGAGAGGACATGACACGGCACATGCACGCAGAGAGGACATGACACGGCACATGCACACAGAGAGGACATGACACGGCACATGCACGCAGAGAGGACATGACACGGCACATGCACACAGAGAGGACATGACACGGCACATGCACGCATGGGGCAAGAGGGGCGTGTACAAGAGGACGAGTGGGAGTGCACATCCGCCAACAAGCATACTGGATGCCCTTTGAGTGAGCTCAAAGGTCAAGAGCACGCACAGGGCAGGAGGAGTCGGTCCATTTGGAGATGCAGGAGGAGAGCAGGCAGAGAAGGGTATGGCATGGACGCACACATAACATGACATGGCACATGCACACATAACATGACATGGCACATGCACACATAACATGACATGGCACATGCACACATAACATGACATGGCACATGCACACATAACATGACATGGCACATGCACACATAACATGACATGGCACATGCACACATAACATGACATGGCACATGCACACATAACATGACATGGCACATGCACACATAACATGACATGGCACATGCACACATAACATGACATGGCACATGCACACATAACATGACATGGCACATGCACACATAACATGACATGGCACATGCACACATAACATGACATGGCACATGCACACATAACATGACATGGCACATGCACACATAACATGACATGGCACATGCACACATAACATGACATGGCACATGCACACATACATGACATGGCACATGCACACATAACATGACATGGCACATGCACACATAACATGACATGGCACATGCACACATAACATGACATGGCACATGCACACATAACATGACATGGCACATGCACACATAACATGACATGGTACATGCACACATAACATGACATGGCACATGCACACATAACATGACATGGCACATGCACACATAACATGACATGGCACATGCACACATAACATGACATGGCACATGCACACATAACATGACATGGCACATGCACACATAACATGACATGGCACATGCACACATAACATGACATGGCACATGCACACATAACATGACATGGCACATGCACACATAACATGACATGGCACATGCACACATAACATGACATGGCACATGCACACATAACATGACATGGCACATGCACACATAACATGACATGGCACATGCACACATAACATGACATGGCACATGCACACATAACATGACATGGCACATGCACACATAACATGACATGGCACATGCACACATAACATGACATGGCACATGCACGGAACACACAGCACGCACAGGGCAGGAGGAGTCGGTCCATTTGGAGATGCAGGAGGAGTGGAAGGAGTGGTTGCACACGGTGGTGAGAATGCCGCTGATGTGCCGATCCAAGCGCTCTGCCATGCACTCCCACACATGAGGAACGGGGGCGGGTGATAGGTGGGGTGGTGAGGAGGGGTACGGACGAACCAGATGGGGGAGGGAAGGGAGGCGTACGGACGAACCAGAAAAGGGAGGGGAGGGGGGAAAGGAGTGAGATGGAGGCACATCGTTTTAAGCAAGCCGCTGATGACTCCATCTCAGAGCAGCAGCATGAGGGCAGGAGGGCAGGTCTGTGAAGCTGGCAAGGGGGCAGGTAGGCGGGTTGGGAGTTGCGCAGGAGGCAGCAGAGGGGGCTATGGTGGTAATGGCCAGCGGCTTACCGAGGCACACGGGGCAGGAGGGCAGCTCTGTGAGGCCCGCGGGGGGCGTGGCTGCCTCCTTCTGCGACCCCGTCACCAGCACCTGCTTCGTGAACAGCACCCGACACAACTCGCTCTGACACGTGGGAATGGACGGGGGGGAAGCAAGGTGGACAGGGAATGGGGAAACGGAAGGGGAGGAGGGCAGGACCGGGGAGTGCTTTTGAGACATCTGACAGCCCCGCTTTACGGGCAGGGGGCGTGGCTGCATCCTCCGGCGACCCCGTCACCAGCACCTGCTTTGTGAACAGCACGCCGCACAACTCGCTCTGCCACATAGGAATGGGGGATGGGCATGGGAAATGGGGAATGAGAAGGACGAGGGGATGGGGAGGGGGACGAGGGGATGGGGAGGGGGACAGGGGGATGGGGAGGGGGACAGGGGGGTGGGAGGCCGTCACCACAGCCTGCTTCGTATACAATACCCGAGACAGCTCGCTCTGACAGATGGGATGTGGGGGGTGCGCATGGGGAATTGGGCATGAGGGGGACAGGGGGGTAGGGCGAGGACCGGGGACGGCAAGGCAACACCCATGAACAACACCCCACTCTGACATGTGTGGATGAGGGATGAGGAGATAATTGTCGCAAGAAATTATGGATGAGACAAGCCGTTTGACATCATGGATGAGACAAGCCCTTTGACATCATGGATGAGACAAGCCCTTTGACATCATGGATGAGACAAGCCCTTTGACATCATGGATGAGACAAGCCCTTTGACATCATGGATGAGACAAGCCCTTTGACATCATGGATGAGACAAGCCCTGTGACATCATGGATGAGACAAGCCCTTTGACATCATGGATGAGACAAGCCCTTTGACATCATGGATGAGACAAGCCCTTTGACATCATGGATGAGACAAGCCCTTTGACATCATGGATGAGACAAGCCCTTTGACATCATGGATGAGACAAGCCGTTTGACATCATGGATGAGACAAGCCCTTTGACATCATGGATGAGACAAGCCCTTTGACATCATGGATGAGACAAGCCCTTTGACATCATGGATGAGACAAGCCCTTTGACATCATGGATGAGACAAGCCCTTTGACATCATGGATGAGACAAGCCCTTTGACATCATGGATGAGACAAGCCCTTTGACATCATGGATGAGACAAGCCCTTTGACATCATGGATGAGACAAGCCCTTTGACATCATGGATGAGACAAGCCCTTTGACATCATGGATGAGACAAGCCCTTTGACATCGAGTTAATTGATAAGAACAACGAGGCTGTTGCTAGACGGAGAACAGGTGCTTTTGCAGAGGATGCAGGGGAGAGAGGAGAGAGTGGCACGCGCACGTCCATGGAGGAGAAGGGCTTGTTGTGGGTAGGGAGGGCTTGTTGTGGGTAGGGAGGGCTTGTTGTGGGTAGGGAGGGCTTGTTGTGGGTAGGGAGGGCTTGTTGTGGGTAGGGAGGGCTTGTTGTGGGTAGGGAGGGCTTGTTGTGGGTAGGGAGGGCTTGTTGTGGATAGGGAGGGCTTGTTGTGGGTAGGGAGGGCTTGTTGTGGATAGGGAGGGCTTGTTGTGGATAGGGAGGGCTTGTTGTGGGTAGGGAGGGCTTGTTGTGGATAGGGAGGGCTTGTTGTGGATAGGGAGGGCTTGTTGTGGGTAGGGAGGGCTTGTTGTGGGTAGGGAGGGCTTGTTGTGGGTAGGGAGGGCTTGTTGTGGGTAGGGAGGGCTTGCTGTGGAGGTGTGAGAGAGGGAGAGGGAGGGAGGGGCGCACCTCCATGGAGGAAAATGGTTTGTTGTTGAACTGCCGGAAAAAGCCATCCGCCGCCTCTTGGGACTTCATTCGCATGAGCACCATGTAGCGCTCTGATAGGCTGTCGTTCCTGGTGTAGGGTTGACAGGGCGCAGCAGCGGAAGCAGGGGAAAGAGCGACAACATTCATTCGCATGAGCAGCATGTATGTAGCTGTCGTTCCCGGTGGGGCGGTTGACTTGACAGGAGGGGCAAAGACAGGCAAACAGGCAGGCAAAGGGGAGACAGGTGACTTCATTCATTCGTTCATTCGCATGAGCACCATGTATGTAGTGCTCCGATAGGCTGTCGTTCGTTTCGTTCCCGGTGAAGAGTTGACAAAGGACAGCGAGGCGGGCATGGGACAGCAGAGAAGGCAGAGAAGGCAGAGAAGGCAGAGAAGGCAGAGAAGGCAGAGAAGGCAGAGAAGGCAGAGAAGGCAGAGAGCCGAAAGTTGATTCGACTCAGTTCCATGAACACCCTGTACTGCCCTGACAGTCTGTCGTTCCGGTTGAGTTGAATTCAGATGTGTTACTCACAACACCCCACCTGATAACGCGTATGCTCTTCATGGCCCCCAGCAGCAGTACGTCCCACCTCATCAAACCGCACTTAACCTCAACCCACCTCATCTCTCACGCACCACACCCTACCTCACCTTACCTCGCCGCACCGAACCACACCTGACGATGCGCATGCTCTCGATAGCCCCCAGCAGTGCGCCAGTGAACTGGCAGAAGTCGGCGCCTGTCATGTACGTGGGCACCGCCAGCACACACAGCTCCATGCCCCTGTCGGGCTGGTGAGGGAGCAACAGAGAAAGGGGTCAGGGGGGACACGGGACATGGGCAAACAGAAAACAGCACAAGTCAGCGCCTGTGATGTACATGGGCACTGCCCGCCCGCACGGCTCCACGCCCCTGTCGGGCTGGTGAGCGAGGGCGCATGGCGTGGCGCCGTGGCGTGGATGGGAGAGAAGAGGAGGCATGGGAAATCGCAAACAGCACATGTGGGCGCCTGTCATGTGGGTGGGAGACAAGACGAGACATGGGCAAACAGCAAATAACAGAAGTTGGCATGTACGTGGACAGTGCTAGTCGCACACATAGCTCCTCGCCCCTGTTGGGCTGGTGAGGGGGCATGTGAAAGGAAAAGTGGAGAAGAGGCAATATGGGCAAACAGCAGACGTGAGAAGTGAACAGAGGCAAGGTAAGTGCACCGTTCCCGCACACACGCTGCACCCTGCAGCACCACACGGCCCTTCACACCCTCACCGCCTTCCTTGCTCCCATCTCCCCGATGTAGTCCCACCTCCTCCCCCCTCTCCCCCTCATTTCCCCTTACTCCCCACCCCCTTCCCCGGGTCACCCAACAGCTCCTACCGGCAGGTTCTGCAGCGAGCCGGGGCTTTCCGCGGTGTTGCGGTAGAGGTGAATCACGCCGCGTGTCGATTCCACCTTGGGATTGCCGGACGAGAACGGGATGCTCTCGTTATTGTCACTTCGCGCGTTGTCACCCGCCCCGCGGTCCTCAGCTTCGCGGATTTCACCTTCGAGTTCCCCTGGCCGTTGGCCACGTGTCAGCTTCTCCGCATCTGACGCCGGCGAGGTGCTACTAGCAGCGTTAAGCGAGGCCCCGTTAGTAGCACGACGAACCGCGTCGCTGTAAGAGGTGACGGCAGCAGCGGTACTGGTCTGGGAGTTTGCGTCCACGTCAGCATGGACTTTTAGAGTGAACATGGTGATAATAACGAACAGGGAAAAGTTTTTACGTGTTATCCGCCGCTATGAGTGTCAGTTTGTGGCCTCGATACAGGTCACTCTCTCTGTCCTCGATACAGGCCACTGTCTCTGTCCTCGATACAGGTCACTCGCTTTGCTCTACATACGGGTTGAGGACTACGACGACAATCGTGCAATTACTATCTCCACTGACCTGCTAAAATTGCTTTACGGTGGTGTAAAGAATAGCTTCTTCTGCCTCCCCGTGGCGCAATAGGGCGTGTTCTCCAAAAACACGAACTGACGAGGATCGCACAAAGCCAGCCGAAAATTGACCTTTTGTGACACCCCATACTTCGCGAAACCAAGCACCCCAAAGAATTCCGTCCATGAAATATGAAAAATTATTAGAGTGGGCTAGAAGGGCGTGTCACGCACGGTTCAATATTTTGTTCAGTTAGGGCGGTTGACTACGATGTTGTATATTATAGAGCGGTTTGTTAGCTTCTCCACTTTGAGCCGCCGCGTACCAGCATGAGCAGTGCTACAAGAGGTGCTGTGTGTTTCACGCTGAAACCTATGTAACCTATGTGTGACACAACCTAACATTGTTCGATCCGTGCGGCCCAGTGCGGGTTTTGCGCTGCTTTCACTAGTCGATTATTTTTTTACTAAGCGGGTTCACGAAGAGGCCAGCGACAGTCGCAGCGTGTCGCAATGGGGGTCGCCAAGGGGGCAGTGGCGACGGTGTCGGCGAACGAGTGCGACTTCATTCTCGCGGCGGTGCGCGACGAGCTGCGCGTCGATGGCCGCAAGCCCTTCGATTACCGCTCCTGGGACGTCTCTTTCGGCAGGTAGCCACTGTACGCGGTATAGGCTTAACCCGTTCTCGAGTGAGGGGCTATTAACAAACACGACGTGTGGGACAGCAGAGCCACGTGCCTTGCTAAGCGCAGCTGTTCGCCTGGAATGTTCGCCATTTGGAAGCTTTTGAATGCCCTCGTCATGTGTCACGATGATCATGCGCACCCCGCCGCATTCTTGCTTCTACCACACCACGTGCCCAACTTCGTTGCCCACCTTCTTGCCCACCTCGTGCCGTCCATGTCGCACACTTCCACGCCGCCCGCCGTCATGCCGCCGCTATCCCGGAATCCTCGTCTTTCGTGCGCCCATTACATACACCCTTAACATCCTTCTCTCTCCACTGCCCATGAGAGCTCTACTTGCGATGGCACGTTCGCCTCCACGAAACCTGCTTCATGCCTCTTGCTGGCTCCTCCGCCCCGCATTCCGCCCCGCGCGCCTGCTTCCTCGTCACCTGTCCCATACACGCCTTTTCCCAATCCGTCAATGTTGAATCTCTTCCCCCAAGCCCTCTTCCCCCAAACCCTCTTCCCCCAAACCCTCTTCCCCCAAACCCACTTCCCCCGAACCTTCTTCCCCCAAAACCTCTTCCCCAAACCCTCTTCCCCCAAACCCTCTTCCCCCAAACCCCCTTCCCCCAAACCTTCTTCCCCCAAACCCTCTTCCCCCAAATCCTCTTCCCCCAAACCCTCTTCCCCCAAACCCTCTTCCCCCAAATCCTCTTCCCCCAAACCCTCTTCCCCCAAACCCTCTATCCCCAAACCCTCTTCCCCCAAACCCTCTTCCCCCAAATCCTCTTCCCCCAAACCCTCTTCCCCCAAACCCTCTTCCCCCAAATCCTCTTCCCCCAAACCCTCTTCCCCCAAACCCTCTATCCCCAAACCCCCTTTCCCCAAACCCTCTTCCCCCAAACCTTCTTCCCCCAAAACCTCTTCCCCAAACCCTCTTCCCCCAAACCCTCTTCCCCCAAACCCTCTTCCCCCAAACCCCCTTCCCCCAAACCCTCTTCCCCCAAACCCTCTTCCCCCAAATCCTCTTCCCCCAAACCCTCTTCCCCCAAACCCTCTTCCCCCAAATCCTCTTCCCCCAAACCCTCTTCCCCCAAACCCTCTATCCCCAAACCCTCTTCCCCCAAACCCTCTATCCCCAAACCCTCTTCCCCCAAACCCTCTTCCCCCAAATCCTCTTCCCCCAAACCCTCTTCCCCCAAACCCTCTTCCCCCAAATCCTCTTCCCCCAAACCCTCTTCCCCCAAACCCTCTTCCCCCAAACCCCCTTTCCCCAAACCCTCTTCCCCCAAACCTTCTTCCCCCAAATCCTCTTCCCTGCCCTTCCTTCGTCTCGTCCTGCTCTGCTCTATCCTGCTCCATCCCCATCCCCCATCCCTTATTCCCTAGCTCCCATGCCCAGGGACGACGGCACAGCAGAGGAACAGCTGGGCAGTACACGCGTCCTCGCCTCCATGTCAGTCAGCCACTTTCACGCTGCCCTTCCCCTCGTCTCTCTATCGTGCTCCTCTCATCATCCCCCATGCCCCATTTACCAGGGATGACGGCACAGCAGAGGTGCAGCTGGGCAGCACGCGCGTCCTGGCGTCAGTTTCAGCAGCGCTCACGCTGCCCTTCCCCGACCGCCCCAACGAAGGCTCCCTGGCCGTCTTCACAGAGCTCGCCCCCATGGCTGACCCGCGTTTTGTGCCTGGGCGGCCGGGGGAGGATGCGATTGAATTGGGGCGCATCATTGACCGCGGGCTCAGGTGGGGATAGACTCTCAGTCACAGACAGGGGAGGCGGGTTATTATAGTGCTAGCGTCCTGCCACTGAGCACTCACCTCGGCCCTGCCTCATCCCTGCTTCGTGCCTGGCCACCCGCGCCTGGGGGAGGATGCGAGTGAGCTGGGGCGCCTCATTGACCGTGGACTGAGGTAAGGGTGGACAGAGCCTCAGAAAGGGGCGCACCGCGCATCCGTCACTAATAGGGCGACCGCCTTCAGGGTCCCATCCCAGGGGGCTTCACGGAGCTCGCCCCATGGCTGACCCGCGCTTCGTGCCCAGGCGCCCGGGGGAAGAGGCGATAGAGCTGGCACGAATTAGTGAGCGCGGGCTGAGGTGAGGATGAATTCCCGTATAGGGGCACACGTTCCCGTATAGGGGCACACACTCCCGTATAGGGGCACACGCTCCCGTATAGGGGCACACACTCCCGTATAGGGGCACACGCTCCCGTATAGGGGCACACACTCCCGTATAGGGGCACACGCTCCCGTATAGGGGCACACGCTCCCGTATAGGGGCACACGCTCCCGTATAGGGGCACACACTCCCGTATAGGGGCACACGCTCCCGTATAGGGGCACACGCTCCCGTATAGGGGCACACGCTCCCGTATAGGGGCACACGCTCCCGTATAGGGGCACACACTCCCGTATAGGGGCACACGCTCCCGTATAGGGGCACACGCTCCCGTATAGGGGCACACGCTCCCGTATAGGGGCACACACTCCCGTATAGGGGCACACGCTCCCGTATAGGGGCACACGCTCCCGTATAGGGGCACACGCTCCCGTATAGGGGCACACACTCCCGTATAGGGGCACACACTCCCGTATAGGGGCACACGCTCCCGTATAGGGGCACACGCTCCCGTATAGGGGCACACGCTCCCGTATAGGGGCACACGCTCCCGTATAGGGGCACACACTCCCGTATAGGGGCACACGCTCCCGTATAGGGGCACACGCTCCCGTATAGGGGCACACGCTCCCGTATAGGGGCACACGCTCCCGTATAGGGGCACACACTCCCGTATAGGGGCACACACTCCCGTATAGGGGCACACGCTCCCGTATAGGGGCACACGCTCCCGTATAGGGGCACACGCTCCCGTATAGGGGCACACGCTCCCGTATAGGGGCACACGCTCCCGTATAGGGGCACACGCTCCCGTATAGGGGCACACGCTCCCGTATAGGGGCACACGCTCCCGTATAGGGGCACACGCTCCCGTATAGGGGCACACACTCCCGTATAGGGGCACACGCTCCCGTATAGGGGCACACGCTCCCGTATAGGGGCACACGCTCCCGTATAGGGGCACACGCTCCCGTATAGGGGCACACACTCCCGTATAGGGGCACACACTCCCGTATAGGGGCACACGCTCCCGTATAGGGGCACACGCTCCCGTATAGGGGCACACGCTCCCGTATAGGGGCACACGCTCCCGTATAGGGGCACACGCTCCCGTATAGGGGCACACGCTCCCGTATAGGGGCACACGCTCCCGTATAGGGGCACACGCTCCCGTATAGGGGCACACGCTCCCGTATAGGGGCACACACTCCCGTATAGGGGCACACGCTCCCGTATAGGGGCACACGCTCCCGTATAGGGGCACACGCTCCCGTATAGGGGCACACGCTCCCGTATAGGGGCACACGCTCCCGTGTAGGGGCACACACTCCCGTATAGGGGCACACGCTCCCGTATAGGGGCACACGCTCCCGTATAGGGGCACACGCTCCCGTATAGGGGCACACGCTCCCGTATAGGGGCACACGCTCCCGTATAGGGGCACACGCTCCCGTATAGGGGCACACGCTCCCGTATAGGGGCACACGCTCCCGTATAGGGGCACACGCTCCCGTATAGGGGCACACGCTCCCGTATAGGGGCACACGCTCCCGTATAGGGGCACACGCTCCCGTATAGGGGCACACGCTCCCGTATAGGGGCACACGCTCCCGTATAGGGGCACACGCTCCCGTATAGGGGCACACGCTCCCGTATAGGGGCACACGCTCCCGTATAGGGGCACACGCTCCCGTATAGGGGCACACGCTCCCGTATAGGGGCACACGCTCCCGTATAGGGGCACACGCTCCCGTATAGGGGCACACGCTCCCGTATAGGGGCACACGCTCCCGTATAGGGGCACACGCTCCCGTATAGGGGCACACGCTCCCGTATAGGGGCACACGCTCCCGTATAGGGGCACACGCTCCCGTATAGGGGCACACGCTCCCGTATAGGGGCACACGCTCCCGTATAGGGGCACACGCTCCCGTATAGGGGCACACGCTCCCGTATAGGGGCACACGCTCCCGTATAGGGGCACACGCTCCCGTATAGGGGCACACGCTCCCGTATAGGGGCACACGCTCCCGTATAGGGGCACACGCTCCCGTATAGGGGCACACGCTCCCGTATAGGGGCACACGCTCCCGTATAGGGGCACACGCTCCCGTATAGGGGCACACGCTCCCGTATAGGGGCACACGCTCCCGTATAGGGGCACACGCTCCCGTATAGGGGCACACGCTCCCGTATAGGGGCACACGCTCCCGTATAGGGGCACACGCTCCCGTATAGGGGCACACGCTCCCGTATAGGGGCACACGCTCCCAAAAGAGCCTCCGTCACACACATGTGCCACAGCCCACACGCTCCCAGCGGGCTTGCTGCTTGTTACCGAGGGGAGGGCTCGTTGGTGGTGCCCACGCCACGCCAATAAAAGTTCAGGCAAATGTAAATTCCTATTCCCACCACTCCTCTGCCCCGCTGGGAGAGCCATGCAGTGGACACGGAGTGGCTGTGTGTGGTGCCATTATGTGCTGCATCCTTGACCGTCTGTCTGTGCGGCTCATCCATCCCCATCCCCATCCCCATCCCCATCCCCATCCCCATCCCCATCCCCATCCCCATCCCCATCCCCATCCCCATCCCCATCCCCATCCCCATCCCCATCCCCATCCCCATCCCCATCCTGATTGTCCATCCCCACACAGGGAGAGCCATGCAGTGGACACGGAGTGGCTGTGTGTGGTGCCATTATGTGCTGCATCCTTGACCGTCTGTCTGTGCGGCTCATCCATCCCCATCCCCATCCCCATCCCCATCCCCATCCCCATCCCCATCCCCATCCCCATCCCCATCCCCATCCTGATTGTCCATCCCCACACAGGGAGAGCCATGCAGTGGACACGGAGTCGCTGTGTGTGGTGGCGGGGAGGGCAGCATGGGCGCTCAGACTGGATATCCGAGTCATGGACAATGATGGGTGAGTCATGGACAATGAATGATGGGTGAGTCATGGACAATGAATGATGGGTGAGTCACCTGTACACGCAGTAGTGGTGCTGGGTTAAGTCCTTTCACACACCCTGCACCACCTTTCACACACCCTGCACCACCTTTCACACACCCTGCACCACCTTTCACACACCCTGCACCACCTTTCACACACCCTGCACCACCTTGCCTTTCTCGCCACACACTCACTGCCTCTGCTCCCTCGCATTCGTGCTGCACATGGTCACTGCTGGCGGCTTTTGTGCTCTAATTATCTTACTCCTTCTCGCCCCAACTGCTTTCACCACCCTCCCCCCTTCATGCCTGCTGCCTCTGTATCCGTCGCAATCTGGTGGGGCGCGTGCTGCTTGGGAAGCATCAAACGCTTCCTTCCTCTGTAACCGGACTGGACCCCTCTCCTCCTTCTCCCCTGCGTCCTCCAGCAACCTGGTGGATGCGTGCTGTCTAGCAGCAGTGGCAGCGCTGCTGGCGTTCCGCCGGCCAGAAGTGACAGTGGGGGGGGACGATGGCATGCAAGTGGTGGTGCACTCAGTGGAGGTGAGCGGGTCGGTCAGCTTGACACAGCCATTCAATACTCTCTATGTGATGCTCTCCGCTGATCATGTTAACACAACACGTGCATTGAGTGCAAGGGAGTGGTGGTGTGTGGAGTCACCATTTTTCCTTCACTCGTACACGAATCCACACCACTGACACCCACAGTGCACGCCAACCCATAGTAGGCACACAGCAGCACGCTGCTTGTGCACCAACATCTGCCCCCCGCACTCCAAGCTCACCCTGCGACACTCTCTCCTCTCGTCCTCCTCCCTGCTTCGCTCCCTCTTGACATCCTCGCTCCTCACTTAGTAAGTTATCCGCACTGTGCTGTGCAGAGCATCCACAGCCTCCTCAGTGCTCACTCCCCTCGTGCACAGACCATCCTCGCCACTCCTCGCCCCCTTCCTTCGTGACGCATACTGCCCACACTGCACTGCACTGCACTGCACTGCACTGCAAGAACGTGCTCTCTGCCCACTCTTCCTCGTCCGTCCCTTCTCCCCTCCCAGCAGCGAGAATCCTTACCCCTCATAGTGCACTGCACAACCTGGCTCTCGCGGGTGCTTCATCTTTTTCTACCCATTCTGCGCCTCTCTGTTTCCATCTCTTGTGCTCACCCCATCGCCCCCCCACCCCCTGCTCCTAGGAGCATGACTCCATACTGCTCACAGTGCACAACCTGCCTCTCGCTGTCACCTTCACCTTCATCTACCCACCCTCTGCCTCTCTGCTCTCCTCTGCTCCCCCCCTCACAACCACCCCCCTCCCCCCCCAGGAGCGCGACCCCATACCCCTCACAGTGCACAACCTGCCCCTTGCTGTCACCTTTGCATACTTCAACGATGGCAATGACGTGGTGCGTCATGGGTGTGCCATGAGTGGTGCGTGATGGGTGTGCCATGAGTGGTGCGTGATGGGTGTGCCATGAGTGGTGCATGATGGGTGTGCCATGAGTGGTGCATGATGGGTGTGCCATGAGTGGTGCGTGATGGGTGTGCCATGAGTGGTGCGTGATGGGTGTGCCATCAGTGGTGCATGATGGGTGTGCCATGAGTGGTGCGTGATGGGTGTGCCATGAGTGGTGCGTGATGGGTGTGCCATCAGTGGTGCATGATGGGTGTGCCATGAGTGGTGCGTGATGGGTGTGCCATGAGTGGTGCATGATGGGTGTGCCATGAGTGGTGCGTGATGGGTGTGCCATGAGTGGTGCGTGATGGGTGTGCCATGAGTGGTGCATGATGGGTGTGCCATGAGTGGTGCGTGATGGGTGTGCCATGAGTGGTGCGTGATGGGTGTGCCATGAGTGGTGCGTGATGGGTGTGCCATGAGTGGTGCGTGATGGGTGGGCCATGGGTGGTGCGTGATGGGTGGGCCATGAGTGGTGCGTGATGGGTGTGCCATGAGTGGTGCATGATGGGTGTGCCATGAGTGGTGCGTGATGGGTGTGCCATGAGTGGTGCGTGATGGGTGGGCCATGAGTGGTGCGTGATGGGTGGGCCATGAGTGGTGCGTGATGGGTGTGCCATGAGTGGTGCGTGATGGGTGTGCCATGAGTGGTGCATGATGGGTGTGCCATGAGTGGTGCGTGATGGGTGTGCCATGAGTGGTGCATGATGGGTGTGCCATGAGTGGTGCGTGATGGGTGTGCCATGAGTGGTGCGTGATGGGTGGGCCATGAGTGGTGCGTGATGGGTGTGCCATGAGTGGTGCGTGATGGGTGTGCCATCAGTGGTGCGTGATGGGTGGGCCATGAGTGGTGCGTGATGGGTGTGCCATGAGTGGTGCGTGATGGGTGTGCCATGAGTGGTGCATGATGGGTGTGCCATGAGTGGTGCGTGATGGGTGTGCCATCAGTGGTGCATGATGGGTGTGCCATGAGTGGTGCGTGATGGGTGTGACATGAGTGGTGCATGATGGGTGTGCCATGAGTGGTGCGTGATGGGTGTGCCATGAGTGGTGCGTGATGGGTGGGCCATGAGTGGTGCGTGATGGGTGGGCCATGAGTGGTGCGTGATGGGTGTGCCATGAGTGGTGCATGATGGGTGTGCCATGAGTGGTGCGTGATGGGTGTGCCATGAGTGGTGCGTGATGGGTGTGCCATGAGTGGTGCGTGATGGGTGTGCCATCAGTGATGCGTGATGGGTGTGCCATGAGTGGTGCGTGATGGGTGGGCCATGAGTGGTGCGTGATGGGTGGGCCATGAGTGGTGCGTGATGGGTGTGCCATGAGTGATGCGTGATGGGTGGGCCATGAGTGGTGCGTGATGGGTGTGCCATGAGTGGTGCATGATGGGTGTGCCATGAGTGGTGCGTGATGGGTGTGCCATGAGTGGTGCGTGATGGGTGGGCCATGAGTGGTGCGTGATGGGTGGGCCATGAGTGGTGCGTGATGGGTGTGCCATGAGTGGTGCATGATGGGTGTGCCATGAGTGGTGCGTGATGGGTGTGCCATGAGTGGTGCGTGATGGGTGTGCCATGAGTGGTGCGTGATGGGTGTGACATGAGTGGTGCATGATGGGTGTGCCATGAGTGGTGCGTGATGGGTGTGCCATGAGTGGTGCGTGATGGGTGTGCCATGAGTGGTGCATGATGGGTGTGCCATGAGTGGTGCGTGATGGGTGTGCCATGAGTGGTGCGTGATGGGTGTGCCATGAGTGGTGCGTGATGGGTGTGCCATGAGTGGTGCGTGATGGGTGTGCCATGAGTGGTGCGTGATGGGTGTGCCATGAGTGGTGCGTGATGGGTGTGCCATGAGTGGTGCGTGATGGGTGTGCCATGAGTGGTGCGTGATGGGTGTGCCATGAGTGGTGCGTGATGGGTGGGCCATGAGTGGTGCGTGATGGGTGGGCCATGAGTGGTGCGTGATGGGTGGGCCATGAGTGGTGCGTGATGGGTGTGCCATGAGTGGTGCGTGATGGGTGGGCCATGAGTGGTGCGTGATGGGTGGGCCATGAGTGGTGCGTGATGGGTGTGCCATGAGTGGTGCGTGATGGGTGGGCCATGAGTGGTGCGTGATGGGTGTGCCATGAGTGGTGCGTGATGGGTGGGCCATGAGTGGTGCGTGATGGATGGGCCATGAGTGGTGCGTGATGGGTGTGCCATGAGTGGTGCGTGATGGGTGGGCCATGAGTGGTGCGTGATGGGTGTGCCATGAGTGGTGCGTGATGGGTGTGCCATGAGTGGTGCGTGATGGGTGTGCCATGAGTGGTGCGTGATGGGTGTGCCATGAGTGGTGCGTGATGGGTGTGCCATCAGTGGTGCGTGATGGGTGGGCCATGAGTGGTGCGTGATGGGTGTGCCATGAGTGGTGCGTGATGGGTGTGCCATGAGTGGTGCATGATGGGTGTGCCATGAGTGGTGCGTGATGGGTGTGCCATCAGTGGTGCATGATGGGTGTGCCATGAGTGGTGCGTGATGGGTGTGACATGAGTGGTGCATGATGGGTGTGCCATGAGTGGTGCGTGATGGGTGTGCCATGAGTGGTGCGTGATGGGTGGGCCATGAGTGGTGCGTGATGGGTGGGCCATGAGTGGTGCGTGATGGGTGTGCCATGAGTGGTGCATGATGGGTGTGCCATGAGTGGTGCGTGATGGGTGTGCCATGAGTGGTGCGTGATGGGTGTGCCATGAGTGGTGCGTGATGGGTGTGCCATCAGTGATGCGTGATGGGTGTGCCATGAGTGGTGCGTGATGGGTGGGCCATGAGTGGTGCGTGATGGGTGGGCCATGAGTGGTGCGTGATGGGTGTGCCATGAGTGATGCGTGATGGGTGGGCCATGAGTGGTGCGTGATGGGTGTGCCATGAGTGGTGCATGATGGGTGTGCCATGAGTGGTGCGTGATGGGTGTGCCATGAGTGGTGCGTGATGGGTGGGCCATGAGTGGTGCGTGATGGGTGGGCCATGAGTGGTGCGTGATGGGTGTGCCATGAGTGGTGCATGATGGGTGTGCCATGAGTGGTGCGTGATGGGTGTGCCATGAGTGGTGCGTGATGGGTGTGCCATGAGTGGTGCGTGATGGGTGTGACATGAGTGGTGCATGATGGGTGTGCCATGAGTGGTGCGTGATGGGTGTGCCATGAGTGGTGCGTGATGGGTGTGCCATGAGTGGTGCATGATGGGTGTGCCATGAGTGGTGCGTGATGGGTGTGCCATGAGTGGTGCGTGATGGGTGTGCCATGAGTGGTGCGTGATGGGTGTGCCATGAGTGGTGCGTGATGGGTGTGCCATGAGTGGTGCGTGATGGGTGTGCCATGAGTGGTGCGTGATGGGTGTGCCATGAGTGGTGCGTGATGGGTGTGCCATGAGTGGTGCGTGATGGGTGTGCCATGAGTGGTGCGTGATGGGTGTGCCATGAGTGGTGCGTGATGGGTGGGCCATGAGTGGTGCGTGATGGGTGGGCCATGAGTGGTGCGTGATGGGTGGGCCATGAGTGGTGCGTGATGGGTGTGCCATGAGTGGTGCGTGATGGGTGGGCCATGAGTGGTGCGTGATGGGTGGGCCATGAGTGGTGCGTGATGGGTGTGCCATGAGTGGTGCGTGATGGGTGGGCCATGAGTGGTGCGTGATGGGTGTGCCATGAGTGGTGCGTGATGGGTGGGCCATGAGTGGTGCGTGATGGATGGGCCATGAGTGGTGCGTGATGGGTGTGCCATGAGTGGTGCGTGATGGGTGGGCCATGAGTGGTGCGTGATGGGTGTGCCATGAGTGGTGCGTGATGGGTGGGCCATGAGTGGTGCGTGATGGGTGTGCCATGAGTGGTGCGTGATGGGTGTGCCATGAGTGGTGCGTGATGGGTGTGCCATGAGTGTTGCGTGATGGGTGGGCCATGAGTGGTGCGTGATGGGTGGGCCATGAGTGGTGCGTGATGGGTGTGCCATGAGTGGTGCGTGATGGGTGTGCCATGAGTGGTGCGTGATGGATGGGCCATGAGTGGTGCATGATGGGTGGGCCATGAGTGTTGCGTGATGGGTGGGCCATGAGTGGTGCATGATGGGTGGGCCATGAGTGGTGCGTGATGGGTGTGCCATGAGTGGTGCGTGATGGGTGGGCCATGAGTGGTGCATGATGGGTGTGCCATGAGTGTTGCGTGATGGGTGGGCCATGAGTGGTGCATGATGGGTGGGCCATGAGTGGTGCGTGATGGGTGTGCCATGAGTGGTGCGTGATGGGTGGGCCATGAGTGGTGCGTGATGGGTGTGCCATGAGTGGTGCGTGATGGGTGTGCCATGAGTGGTGCGTGATGGGTGGGCCATGAGTGGTGCGTGATGGGTGGGCCATGAGTGGTGCGTGATGGGTGGGCCATGAGTGGTGCGTGATGGATGGGCCATGAGTGGTGCGTGATGGGTGTGCCATGAGTGGTGCGTGATGGGTGTGCCATGAGTGTTGCGTGATGGGTGGGCCATGAGTGGTGCATGATGGGTGGGCCATGAGTGGTGCGTGATGGGTGTGCCATGAGTGGTGCGTGATGGGTGGGCCATGAGTGGTGCGTGATGGGTGTGCCATGAGTGGTGCGTGATGGGTGGGCCATGAGTGGTGCGTGATGGGTGTGCCATGAGTGATGCGTGATGGGTGGGCCATGAGTGGTGCGTGATGGGTGGGCCATGGGTGGTGCGTGATGGGTGGGCCATGAGTGGTGCGTGATGGGTGTGCCATGAGTGGTGCATGATGGGTGTGCCATGAGTGGTGCGTGATGGGTGTGCCATGAGTGGTGCGTGATGGGTGTGCCATGAGTGGTGCGTGATGGGTGTGACATGAGTGGTGCATGATGGGTGTGCCATGAGTGGTGCGTGATGGGTGTGCCATGAGTGGTGCGTGATGGGTGTGCCATGAGTGGTGCGTGATGGGTGTGCCATGAGTGGTGCGTGATGGGTGTGCCATGAGTGGTGCGTGATGGGTGTGCCATGAGTGTTGCGTGATGGGTGGGCCATGAGTGGTGCGTGATGGGTGGGCCATGAGTGGTGCGTGATGGGTGGGCCATGAGTGGTGCGTGATGGGTGTGCCATGAGTGGTGCGTGATGGGTGGGCCATGAGTGGTGCATGATGGGTGGGCCATGAGTGGTGCGTGATGGGTGTGCCATGAGTGGTGCGTGATGGGTGTGCCATGAGTGGTGCGTGATGGGTGTGCCATGAGTGGTGCGTGATGGGTGTGCCATGAGTGGTGCGTGATGGGTGTGCCATGAGTGGTGCGTGATGGGTGTGCCATGAGTGGTGCGTGATGGGTGTGCCATGAGTGGTGCGTGATGGGTGTGCCATGAGTGGTGCGTGATGGGTGGGCCATGAGTGGTGCGTGATGGGTGGGCCATGAGTGGTGCGTGATGGGTGTGCCATGAGTGGTGCATGATGGGTGTGCCATGAGTGGTGCGTGATGGGTGTGCCATGAGTGGTGCGTGATGGGTGTGCCATGAGTGGTGCGTGATGGGTGTGCCATGAGTGGTGCGTGATGGGTGTGCCATGAGTGGTGCGTGATGGGTGTGCCATGAGTGGTGCGTGATGGGTGTGCCATGAGTGGTGCGTGATGGGTGGGCCATGAGTGGTGCGTGATGGGTGGGCCATGAGTGGTGCGTGATGGGTGTGCCATGAGTGGTGCGTGATGGGTGGGCCATGAGTGGTGCGTGATGGGTGTGCCATGAGTGGTGCGTGATGGGTGTGCCATGAGTGGTGCGTGATGGGTGTGCCATGAGTGGTGCGTGATGGGTGGGCCATGAGTGGTGCGTGATGGGTGTGCCATGAGTGGTGCGTGATGGGTGTGCCATGAGTGGTGCGTGATGGGTGGGCCATGAGTGGTGCATGATGGGTGTGCCATGAGTGGTGCGTGATGGGTGTGCCATGAGTGGTGCGTGATGGGTGTGCCATGAGTGGTGCGTGATGGGTGTGCCATGAGTGGTGCGTGATGGGTGTGCCATGAGTGGTGCGTGATGGGTGTGCCATGAGTGGTGCGTGATGGGTGTGCCATGAGTGGTGCGTGATGGGTGTGCCATGAGTGGTGCAGTGATGGGTGTGCCATGAGTGGTGCGTGATGGTGTGCCATGAGTGGTGCGTGATGGGTGTGCCATGAGTGGTGCGTGATGGGTGGGCCATGAGTGGTGCGTGATGGGTGGGCCATGAGTGGTGCGTGATGGGTGTGCCATGAGTGGTGCATGATGGGTGTGCCATGAGTGGTGCGTGATGGGTGTGCCATGAGTGGTGCGTGATGGGTGTGCCATGAGTGGTGCATGATGGGTGTGCCATGAGTGGTGCGTGATGGGTGTGCCATGAGTGGTGCGTGATGGGTGTGCCATGAGTGGTGCGTGATGGGTGTGCCATGAGTGGTGCGTGATGGGTGTGCCATGAGTGGTGCGTGATGGGTGGGCCATGAGTGGTGCGTGATGGGTGTGCCATGAGTGGTGCGTGATGGGTGTGCCATGAGTGGTGCATGATGGGTGTGCCATGAGTGGTGCGTGATGGGTGTGCCATGAGTGGTGCGTGATGGGTGGGCCATGAGTGGTGCGTGATGGGTGTGCCATGAGTGGTGCGTGATGGGTGTGCCATGAGTGGTGCGTGATGGGTGGGCCATGAGTGGTGCGTGATGGGTGTGCCATGAGTGGTGCGTGATGGGTGTGCCATGAGTGGTGCGTGATGGGTGTGCCATGAGTGGTGCGTGATGGGTGTGCCATGAGTGGTGCGTGATGGGTGTGCCATGAGTGGTGCGTGATGGGTGTGCCATGAGTGGTGCATGATGGGTGGGCCATGAGTGACGGATCACGCCAGCGTGTCCGAGGGCGAACATGAGAGCAGGACTCAGTGCATCATTTCTCAGCCGCCCAGGTGTGCCTGCCTCCTTGCTATCCGGGGCCGGGCATCCAAGTCAGCAGGACGCATGTGGTGGGCAGGAGGGGGGGCGAGCATGTGCTCTCTATTGGGTTCACAAGCACGCACGTTGAACTCCCTCCCCTGCCTGTTCTTACTCGCGATGCGACGGAGGGAGAGCTGTCTATTCGCTTCAGTTCAGTGCACTCAGAGCAAGGTCACAGCTTGTGGCTGTCCCACAACACAAAGCTCCAGTGTAAAGCAACATGTGCGCAGCCTTCCTCTTGAGTCCATGCATGCAGTTACAGCTGGTGGTAAATGCATACTTTCATGCATGCATGTGTGAGAGGCATGATTGTGCTGCGTCCTGATGATTGTGTGGGCTCCGAGTGGGCACTGTGTGAGCAACGAGCTGTGACATCTCTTATCATGCTGAACTGAGTGAGGAGCTCTCTCTGTCGCATGTATGCGGTCTTGTTTGGGTTCATGCATAAGAGCTATTTCAGGTTCGTGCATATGACCCCTGTGCATCGACGGTCAACCCATGCCACCCCAGGTGATGGATCCGAGTTCCAAGGAGGAAGTGGTGCAGGCAGGGCGGCACACAGCGCTGTTGAACCCCAGGTCATGGATTCCAGTTAAAGGAGGAGGCAGCGCAACAAGGAAGGTGCATAGTGCTGGTGAACGCAGTGGGGGATGTGTGCATCATGCAGAAGGGCGGGGGCGTTGGGGTGCTACTCCCCGAGCGCATGAAACACCAACCTAACCCTGTGCGTCCAACCACCCGCCTCCCACCATCCCATGTCAGCTCATGGATCCCAGCTACAAGGAGGAGGCAGCCCAGGTGGGGCGCTGCACAGTGGTGGTGAATGTGGTGGGGGGTGTGTGCAGCGTGCAATGCGCAGTGTGGCAGGGGCGTGGCCACACAACCCCTGTGCCTCCACCCACCCACCTCCAACTCCCACCATCCCATGCCAGCTCATGGACCTCAGCTTCAATCGGGGCGCTGCATAGTGCTGGTGAACGCGGTGGGGGATGTGTGCAGCATGCAGATGTGAGGAGGAGTGGGCATGTTACCCCCACCAACCTAACTCCTGTGCCTCCAACCTCCTGCCTCCAACCGTCTCACAACGCCTGTGCTGCCTCCAACCTAGCCCCGGTGCACCCCTGCCTCCCACCCCAGGTCATGGATCCCAGCTACAAGGAGGAGGCAGCCCAGGCGGGGAGGTGCACAGTGCTGGTGAATGCGGTGGGGGATGTGTGCAGCGTGCAGAAGGGCGGGGGTGTCGGGGTGTCACTCCCCCAGCTCATGCGCTGCTGCCGTGTCGCTGCCTCTGTGGCCCAACACATGATCAAAACGCTCACTGATAAGGTGAGCTTGGGTGGGTTGGGGTGGGGTGGTGCTGCGCATGGACAAGGTGTTGTCTCGCTGCTGAGCTGTGGGGGTGTGGGGGTGTCACTCCCCCAGCTCAAGTGCTGCTGCCGCATGGCTGCCTCCGTGCCTCAACGCATGGTCAGAATGCTTACGGATAAGGTGTGATGGTGTGGGCGAGTTGGTGACGACTGCAGTGAAGGGATGTAGGTCGGATTGGGGTTGATTGACTGGAAAGTGGCTTGCACGTTGCAACAAGGTATGGTGATCAATGCATTCAAAAGTGTGCATAATGGAACGAGGCAATGGTGGCGGGGCATGGGGATGGAGGCGCTACATCCTTGCGGCGTGCAAGTGTCCTCCTGGGCATGCAAGTGTCCTCCTGGGCATGCAAGTGTCCTCCTGGGCATGCAAGTGTCCTCCTGGGCATGCAAGTGTCATCCTGGGCATGGGCATGCACATGCACGTCTTCACCCCTTCCCCTGCCCCATCCCCTCGCACCTTCAGGTGGCAGCACTGGCAGCAGAGCGGCAGCGGAGGAAAGTGAAGCGACATGCCTCCCCTGCTGCCGGTGCAGCAGCAGCAGTGGGACTGGACACAGTGGCAGGGGGCGCAGAGGGGGCAGGGGGGCTGAAGGGGGGTGTGATTGGTGCGGCGGAGATTGCTGCCGTGCAGAGGAAAGGAGGGGGCGTGCGGGCAGGGCAGGCAGGTTGTGATGGTGATGGTGGTGGTGATGGTGATGGTGATGGTGGGAGGGTGAAGGAAGAGCACATGGAGGACGATGAAGGGGAGGAGGGGGAGGAAGGGGAGGAGGGGGAGGAAGGGGAGGAGGAATCAAGTGATGGGGAGGATGGTGAGGACGAAGAGGAAGAGGGTGAGGGGGATGGGGGGAGAGGGGGAGCAGCAGGAGGGGGTGTGGATGCACTCTTCGAAGGAGGGGTGTCATCGTGGTGAGCTCTCACTTCTGCTATTCTTGCGCTTTTCCTCTCTACAGCTTACAGGTGATGCCTTCACTGCTGCCTGCCTGTGGGCGTTAAGTGCTCCATGGGGTACCATTGATGGTACCATTCTCATGGGCATGGTATTGTCCTTCAAGGCATGCTCAAAGGCTGGGCACCCCTGGCTGTGCGCATTTGTGGTGCTTGCCTGCCTGACTGTGTGTGTGGTTGTCGTGTCGCTTTGTGTTGGCTCATGGTTCACATCACATCACAGGTTGCAAGAGGAGCGTCACCACAACAAGAGCAACAAGGGAGCAACAGCAGGTGACGCCTCCTCTCATGCTTCTCTCATCCTCCTCTCATCCTCCTCTCATACTCCTCTCATCCTCCTCTCATACTCCTCTCATCCTCCTCTCATACTCCTCTCATCCTCCTCTCATGCTCCTCTCATGCTCCTCTCATACACCTCTCGTCCTGCACCATCCCAGCCCGGTTGGGATCAGAGCGAGATGCCATCGCCAACCCTGTCCACAGTGACTCTTGAGTCGACTCCCAAGCACACTCCTCTGTCTCCCCTTCCCACCTAACCACTTTCATCCCCCCTCTCCTCTCCCGCACCACCCCAGCCCGCCTGGGATCGGAACTAGACGCCATCGCCGACCTGCTGCCATCCACTGCCGCCCCTCCTGCCCCTACCTCCAAGGCCTCTGCCGCCCGGGCCGTGCCAGCTGCTGGGAAAGGTGAAGGGGATTTGCCAGCGGCAGCGGCAGCGGCAGGTGCAGGGAGCAGGGTGAAGGAGGAGTCTCTCACACTGGCTGATGCCGTGAAGAAGCCGAAGAAGAAAAAGAAGAGCAAGGCAGAGCATTGACGCACAGTGCTGACGCGCATGCAGACTGACTGATGGTATTTACTGGCTGGGTTGCTTGCACGTGGTGAGATGATGGATTTAGAGAGCCGGCATCGCTTGCAGTCGAGGGGTGTGGGTTGAAGGTGTGACCAGCCCACCTATAGGTTTGATTCTGTCCCGTGCATAGCAGAATGTTACCAAAAATCTTGGAAAGGATTCACTGAGTAAACTTTCCAACGTTATGGGCATTTTGTGTTTGCCCAAAAACTTTCCACGTTTCCATCATATGTACGTTGTAAATCTCTTCGAAACAGCACACCTTAGTCACCTGCCACATTTCTTGGAACGTTTGACATTGGATGAAGCACTGCGAAGATGGTTGCACAGTAAGACATAAGCCATCATGATACACAAAAACCAAGTCATATATTCTACAAGACGATTGAGTTTACCAACAGCTACCGGTATGCTGGTGTCTCCTCTGCCATCACAAGCTGCACATGCAGCAGCAGGGGGCAGGGAGTAGAGAGCAGAGATGAATGCAGGGGATGCAGAATAGAGACGGAGGCATGCAAAAGACACACTGCGTGAAAGGCGTGAAGCGTGGGGGGTGTGACACATGACGATGTAAAGCATGGGGGTGTGACACATAGCGTTGTGAAGCGTGGGGGTGTGACACATGGCGATGTGAAGCATGGGGGTGTGACACATGGCGATTTGAAGCATGGGGGTGTGACACATGGCGTTGTGAAGCGTGGGGGTGTGACACATGGCGATGTGAAGCATGGGGGTGTGATGCCTGTACATTCACCGTGGGAACGTTTCCCCCACCTACGACAATAATCATGGCCACTGCAACATGCAATTCCCATCCTTTCTCACCATGCCTGCACCTATCACCATGAATGCCTCCCCCACTATACCTGCCCCTCTCCCTTGGCCCCCTCAAAATGAAGTCGCATGATGCTGTGCGAATCATTAAGAGTATCTTATCTTAGGATGCCTCACCTTGAACACGTCTCACTTTCGACATGTCTCACCTTAAGCATGTCGGTTAGGAAGTTGGGTGCTGCAGCAGGCCGCGGCACTCCGAAGAGGCGGAAGGCAATGTCATCTAGCAGCTGTGCAGGCGAGGCAAAGGGATGTTAAAATTGAATTGCACAATTTTGGGCAGGAATGAAAGGGTGGGGTGGGGTCGGTATGCGGTAGGTCGTACGAGGAGCGGAGAGAAAAAAGAAAACGAGATTCAATGCATGCTTTCCAAAGGCAAGGGTAGGGTGCAAGGATGGCTCCACGCTCCAGCAGAGAAAAGGGAATCCATCCAGCGAAGCGAGAAACAAGACGAAGAGGGGAAGAGAGGGAAGGAAGCTTCAGGGAGTAAGAGCTAGGGGAGGGTAGGTGTGATCAAGTGAGGAGGGTAGGCGTGATAAAGTGAGGAGGGTAGGCGTGATCATTTAAGCTTTAAGATGTGTGCTAGGCGAAATATAAAATGTGTGCTTTTGCTTGATTGTAATCATCCTTTGTAGTGGAAATATTTTCTGAATCTCTTTGACGAGTTAACTTGCTCTATCAACGTATTGACGTGAAGAGGTATTCTGCACATGAGCACATTTCGTTGTCAACGCTGCGCAACGAAGTTTTTGAACGCTCTAAAACGCACGATAAGTTTTGCACTTACGGAAATCCCTCTTCAAACATGGACCCTTGGATAGGGGCTGGTTCTACCAGGCACCCAAAGACCTTTGGAGGTGACCTTGTGGGGACTACCTAGTGTGGATTAAAAGTGTGTTAAGAGCCTCTATATCTTAAATATCTATCAACAGAGCAAGGACCCATTAAATGAGGAGGTGAGGCGTGAGGGAGTGAGGAACAGGGACCCTCGAAGGAACATACAGGAGGGAAGGCAGGGTCGCGTTGGAGGGACGGCTCATAGCGGCGGCGCAGATGAGACAAAAGTGATGGCGCCCTGCGATCAGCTCTGTATGGTGGTGAGGGGATGAGGGGCGGAAGACAGGAGGATCATGAGAGGAAGAAGAGAAGCATTTGGGGGAGGCGCCCCCCGCAGCCGCAGGCCATGGATGATAATAGGACAGAATAAATTTGAAGCTAACCGTTCACTGATTTTCACCTGCTGGTGAGTGCAGGTGGAGTGCGGAGGTGAGTGCAGGTGGAGTGAGGTGGGAGCGGGTGGAGAGGGGTGGGAGCGGGTGGTTGGTGGAGATTTCTTACGCAGTGAGGAGAAGGTCAGTGAAACGCAAGAGGGGAGACTCCTGCCACTTGCTAGCTGCAGCACCAGCTCTGTCTTCAGTAGCACCACTGTCCACAGCAGCAGCAGCGTCAGCAGCACCATCAGCATCAGCACCATCATCACCAGCAGCATGGTCATCCGCTCCCCAGACGCCTGCCTGCTTCGTTTTGAGGTCGTGCCAGAGCTGCTTGCCCTGCTGCAGTCGCCCTGCCGCCAGACACCTAAGAGAGGAGGGGCATGGCAGGAAGGGTGCATCGGCAAGAGGAGGCATGGGCGAAGGGAGGCATGGGCGAGGGGAGGCATGGGCGAGGGGGGGCATGGGCGAGGAATAGTCCAAAGATTTGTCGCTGCAGTCCCTGCTGCCGAACACCTGGGAGAGTGGGGATATGGGGGAGGCGAGGAAGGCGACAAGCTGAGCCACGTTATGGGGAAATGAGACGGACGGTGGGCTGCTAATCAGAGCAATTGCTGTGAGGGCTTCAAAGCGCGATTAACATGGAGAGGAGAGGCGCGGGAAGAAAGGGGAGGTGTAAGAAGAATCAAAAGAGTGTGTTTTTTGGTCAACTTCAATCTCTATCTGGGGCATGGTAGACCATAAAACGCACTCTGACATGGTAGACCCCAAGCATGAGAGCCTGTACTGTACAGCATCCATTTTGGGGTGCCGGCATGAAAGTCTAGATTCTCCCTTGACCAGAAGGCGTAGCATGTCATGTCAGTGCATGTCGGCACCCCATTCCAGGTGAGAGACTGAGAAAGCGGTGGTGCAATGGAAATCACAAATCTTTTTCATTGACTCGAAAGGATACGATTGCAAGGGGCAGCACTTACTGGAGCACAGCCCTGGCAATGACGAGGTCCCTCTCGCCGAGGTAGCACTGCAGTGCTCACGCAGCGCAATGGAAAAAAGCAAGCAGAGGGACAAGGAAGGAATATTTGGATGGGTCTAAGAAGGCCAAATGCATTTTGCAAAGGTAGCGGTGCAAATCACAGTGCAACGGAAGGAAGGAATCAGAGGAAAGGGACGGCAGGAGAAGAAAGAGATTTGAATTGTGGGAAGGAAGGGTGGCAATGACCGCCGAAGATGGATGAAACATGGAGAACCCAGCGTGGAGCCGTTGCTACGCACAAAATCAAAGGTGAGATTTCATGATTGCATTGCAAGCTGTGTGCAACACACACACACACACGCCCCCTGTTGCTATCGCATAGAATACGGTGTGCAAAGCACCTTCAGGCACACATCCCTGTTGCTACCTGCTGTGCGTATTCCGCCAGGCTGTGAGCAAAGAGGGCGGGGTCGTCCGAGTACACAAAGTGGAAGAACGCCGCTGCATAGTCCTGCGTGGGGGGCGGGGCCCAGGGAGGACAATTGAGTCGACTCAGAAGAGTCTTGGGTTGTCTGCTATGTTGGAAAAGTCGCCAGAAACCATAAGCGCACACCGTATAGGCGTTAACGAATATACGGTGTACGCAATTCGTACGTATATTCGTAGGGTAAAAATCGGGCTGACCGGAAAAAAACCCAGATTTGTGTAGTCGCGAACGAATTGCGAATGTGCGACGCGACTCAAAATGTACGCACGTCCCAACCCAATTTGTACGCACCTCCCAAACACATTGTCACCCACACCTGTCAAAAGTTGGGGACGTGGGAAAGTCAGAACCGCATTGCACCCTATGTTATCGCGCGACTCCAACACACAAACACGAATGTCGTCAACCAGCGGAGGTGGTTCAACCACAGCGTGGACTATAAGGTAAGCTGTTTCCCGTCATGTGTAGTATCTCTCTTTCATTCTCTCTCAACGCACCCGGCCAGCTCCACTTGATGTCGACTCCTACTGGTACTCCCGCGAGTGCCACTAGTGAGGCTCCTAGTGTTTCGAATGACGCGACCATGGCGGACGGCGGGGATGTTCCTGAGAACACCCATGTTATTTTTAAGCATTTCATTACCTCTACCGAAGGTTCCCCAACTGGTCCTGAGCGAACTCTCCGCACATGCCGGTATTGCAAGCTTAAGTTCGTAGGCGGCGCCTTCTGTTGTGCGCAACACATCACGCGCTGGAAAGGGCTGAAACGGAAGGACGTCCGTCTTTGCAAGGCGCCGATCCCTCCTGCTGACCGCAACGCCGTCCGCGAATTGTACGAAGGTAAAAATGCCCGCAGGGAAGGGAGGAAGAGGGCGGAAGAGATGGCGATCGAGGCGTGTGCGGGTGGATCGAAGAAGCAGTGCATGGAAGACTTTTACGGGGAGGGGGCGTCGTGTGCGAAAGATTCGGCAGACGACGCCATCTGCCTCATGTGGGCGGCACTTCACCTCCCGGAGCATCTCGCCGATCACCCTCTCTGGCGCAACGCTGTGCGCAGCATCGCGGACGCGGGCCATGGCTACGTTCCGCCGAAGCGGCGGTATGTTGGTGGCGCCGGCCTGCAGCGCTGCCGCGGAAAGATCGAGCGGGGCCTCGCTCCCATCGCTGCGAGCTGGAAGCGGGATGGAGTGACGATCGGTTCGGACATGATGACGGACAAAAGTGGCCGTCCCCAAGCCAACATCCTGCTCATCAACGACTCCGGTGCTGTGTTCGCCGAGAGCATAGACTGTAAGATGGAGACGAAGACGGGAGGTTACATTGCATCCGTTTTGCGCCCCATCATTGAGAAGGTGGGGCCCGCCAACATCGTTGCCTTCTGCATGGATGGGGGCAGCAATTACGCGGCTGCATGTCGGGAGCTCATGCAAGAATTTCCTCACATTGAGCATGTACCG